TCGTACTTTCCAGACCAGTACGCTCACTTGCTGGCTTCGGTCAGCCCCAATGTTCACTGCTTTTTGTTTGGACTGGGGCTTCTGACTGGACTGCACGGACGTATGGATGGGACTGTACTGGATCTACAATTTACGGGCATCAAGCACCAGTACATGGGAACCTGGGCCATGGGCCTGACACCTCAAATTCTGGAGGCGCGAATGGCAACAAGTTTCGGACTCCAAGGCCGGGGCCGTGTACTTGTGGTTTACACTCACCTTAACCAGCTAATCAACTCGGACTAATGATATGGGACTCGGAATCTTGGAACGGGGACTGCGACAGGATGCTGATGCTGTTGAAATCTTTTGACTTGTTCGTTTCCCACCGGAATGTCAAGTGTGACAGCGAAAGGTACCTGCCCCTGATAAGATTGCAACGGGCAAACTCAAAATCTTGCACGTGCAGGAATGTGATGACCTCTCCGATTGTCAGCTTACATCTGTCTTTCTTTCACCTTCTTGTGTTGCAGAATTTCGCACAATTTCAGAATGGAATTATAATATTACTATATCATTTGTGGAAATCAGAGAAATTCTGATAATTGCTATATTGTCTTTCTTTGACTGGCTGTTGCTGTTGCAGTTCATTGAGTGGGTGTTTGATACCTTTGTGTCCATGTGGAATGATATGAGGGAAAGACAACTTGAGAAAGAGAGAGAGGAGGCAGAGTTGTTTAAGACAAAGGCAACAACACACACTCTGGAGACACAGGAAGAGGAGGACGAGGAGTCCTTTAAGGCAATGTTTCCTAATCATTTTGAGGATTACGAAGACCTGAATCAACCAGCAATGGTTTCAGCTGAAGAAGATGATGTAGGCACAGCTCTCTTTCTGTTTCTTTCCAGTGTGTCCTTTTCATGTCCGTTGTTGCTTTAGCATTACTCTTTATCATCCAACAAGTTTGCCTTCATTTGTTTGAGAGGTTACGAGTGCGGGATGGTGCAAAGTTCAAAACAGAATTTAGTAATTTACGTTTCTTTTACTCCATTTCTACCAGTCCTCGAACAATGCTGGACTTCAGTCCCAAACGTTGCTGGGCTGTTTTTTTTTTTTTTTGCAGTAACATGCCCTTATGGTCACTGCTCCTTTCTATTCCAAGCCACATTGGTCAGGTTTCTCTTCGACCTGCAAGTCATGAGAAGTATCAGTCCCTAAACCACCCATCGCGCCAAGCCTGGTTTTCTCAACCCGGATTTCGGCTGTGCACAAAATCAGAAAGAAAAACAACTGGTGCTGACACCAGCCAATTTGGTCCGGTAGGCTAAGCGGCGGGTTAACCACTGCTTTGTAACGAAATAGCTGGCAAGGGACTGGTGGTTTAAACTTGGCTATGCAAGCCATACCTAGCTGTCTATTCACTTTTTTACTTTCGGAATGCTGGTTCTGAATGCCTTCTTGTGCACATGTGAGTGATTGATTCCATTAGTGTTATCCAAAGGCTGGGTCAACATGACATTTGAACTCGGAAATCGACTGACACGGGTAAAGCCTGTCCACTCCTTCCAGCCAACTCCAATTTTGCATGCCAAGAATCATGGTTGTCTAGATCTGGCATCCTTCCATTTTTGAAGGCAGAGACGAACGTGCCTGTCTTCATGGGTGGTCAAGTTTGCATGCCATTGACAGAGGAAAACAAAGACGTGCAGATCAGTTGCCTTGCAGCAGAGTGCTCTATTCTGGCTACACTCAGCCCCCAAAGGCATCTCTAGTTGGAAGACGGGGACAAGGGGGAAAGTGGTTGGTCTATCATGGAAGCAGTGCCGTTGAGAACACTATCGGCAACTTGTGCAGATGATGGTTGCCAGCAGAACTAAAAAAGACACGCTTGCACTGAGCATTCCAATCCCTTTGTCACTTCATGTTGGTGTAGATTCAGTGTGTTTCCAAGCGCTTGCCATTCTAACTTTGTCGGGGGGTGGTTGGGAAAAGATGCTGGCATTTGCATGATACTGAACAGGTGTATACGCTGGCAGCATTTCAATTCACAACGATGACTTCACTGACCAGGGATCACACTTCTGTGTGCTTCCATTCCTTGCAAATCTTGCAAGCAGGCAAAGGCAAAAGCATTCGAAAAATCGGAGAAGGAAAGGATGATTAGCGATGCTCAAGGTCCTGCCAAAGGCTCAGAATTGCGTGTATATGGAATGCTGGAGGGGACACTGCTTCGGGATGTTATCCGCGTTCATTCACTAGTCTTCTCAAACCAATGGGAGCCCTTCGAAGAGGTACTGCTGGATGTCTCCTAGCTGTGTGGGTTGCCCCTTTATTCGCAACTTCCCTTGAACGCACAGGTTTCCCTAACAAGTGTCTTGGACCACTCCCTGATGACATGCAAGTGTCTCCGACTTTCTCATCGTCTCCCTGTATTCATTTCCGTCACTTCGGGTGTTTCTCTCCGATTGCTCGCTTTTCAAACAGGATTCTGCCTGTAAACAAGCTCCAGCACGCTGTTATTCATGCATAAGGAAGGGGAGAACGAAAAAATGAACCCAGCTCATGTGGTCTGAATGGTACACCCATGAGCTGTTGCTGTATATGTTCAAATCCTAGTGCGATCAGATGAATGAAACAACTCTGAATTAACTGAGGCTGATCAGTTCGATGGTGATACCTCAGGGCTGTCAGCTATGGTGAACTCATGGTACCGTTTTTTGTTCGATGCAAGCAGAGTTTCGCTCTCACGATGATCAGAACATATAAGTCTGCCCTCGAGTCCTCGAACTAAACAACCCTCATGTACTGCCCAACTACTATCCCATCAAGTGCATGTGGGTTTAAAGTACTTGGGAGGTTTCAACGTCTCTCTATCTTTCTGCAATATCTTTACCACTCCCTGATAATACAAGTGCGTCATCTTTCCATCATCTGCCTCTTTCCTTTCTTCCTTGCCTTCTCCATCCTCTTTGATGTGGTTGTTATCTGCTTCTCTCCAAACTTTTTTGTCTCCTTTTGTCTCCCTTTTTATTTCATGTCATCCTTGTGCGTGGGCCATGCTAATCTTCTCTGTATCACCCTTAATTTCTTGTCATTCTATCGAAGGTCTCATTGAGTGTTTGAAATGTTTAGTTTAATTTTTCCGTTCCTGCTTTCCTCAACTTCCTCGCGTTCTCTTGAAGCTCTCATTAATTGTTTGGACAGTTGGGATAAACAGCTGCCTTGGGTAGTTTGCTCATTTCGAGCAAGGGTTTTTGAATTGCTTAGAGCACACGACAAGCAAACCATGCAATGCTGCGTGCTCACCAGAAAGACTTGTGGTCCCCCCCCCCCTTCCTTTGAAAAAAAAAAAAGGGTGTGCCACACGTATGGTTCTGGGGATTCACTGGTCCTTCAGTTAGTCAGTGCCGGTGGAGTGAATTTCAGATTGCCAGAAACGTTTTCCACAAAATGCACACGGAACTCTCTTCAAGTTTTGAGTCGTTTTGTTTCTAAGTTTCTCATTGTCGTGGCTGAATCTGTGCTCCCAAGCAGGAAGTAGGAGGTCGGGACAAACACAGAGTGGCTGGTGACAAACGTATAGTTATGGGGATTCGCTGGTCAGTCAGACAGTGTCAGTGTCTGTGGAGTCTATTTCAAATTGCGAGAATCGTTTTCCACGAAATGCACACATACTACACATAGTCGTTTTGTTTGTGTGTTTCTCATTGTTGTGGCTGAATCTGTGTTCCGAATCAGGAAGTAGGAGTCGGGGACAAACACGGAGTGGCTGGTGACAAGAAGATCGAGCTTTTTGAACTGTCCTATAACACTGGTTGCAAATTGCTGCAAGGTATGCTAGAAGTCCAGTTGGTGAAGTAAATGTGTAGTTAATGACAGTACGAAGGCCCCAAACTTGCAAAACAAGCGTTCTACCATGACAGAATGGAGGAAGTGGGATTGGAACCCATGACAGAATTGTGTTGAATGTTGATTTAGCAAAGCAATCTCTTCAGCTACTTAGTCATACCTGCCGGGACAAACAGGATTTGAACCCACGGCTTCTTGCATGACAGACCAGCACTCAAACCAACTTACAGCTATTTTCCCATGTGGGTAGTAACGGACCTGAACCGCTGGCTCTCTTGGTGTAAACAAGGCACTCTATCAACTGTGCTAATGAGTAATTATCGATTTGTCTTAATGTACTTAAGGAAGTGTATATTATAGCAATCACACCAAGAGTATACATGAAAGGAATGAAATAAAGAGTAGCTTCTGAAAACATTTGTATCGAAAATCTTGTGCTTTTGCCAATCTAAGGCGCCCTTCTTCCATTCACAAACAGAACAAATCTTGAAAACCAATCCGAAAACCCTCTCTGTCCACTGTTGTGAACTGTCAGAACAATCAATAGGAGCTAGGAGCATAGTACGTAGACGTCAGAGCTACTTGGATCTTTTTTTTCCTTCTTCTGAGATACAGTCGCCGGTTTACTGGCAAAGTGACATAAGCCAAGAGCAACTGCAGACTGCTGATTCAATAGGCCTTATTGATCTAAACCATACTTGCAACCGCACGAGCCGCACATTGGTGTGGAGTTCCGTGTGGGGGGTGCCTGTGCGGAATCGTGCAGGTTTTTTATCTTTATTATTATTATTTATTTATTTTTTTGGGAAGGGGGACGGGGGGCGAATGACGGGAAGATGCAGATATAGCGAGAGGAGAGGGATATGGAGAGGAGGAGGATGTGGACGAGGAGGACGAGGAGGACAGCCAGGACGAGGAGGAGAAGTAGAGATGGGGGAGGAGAAGAAATGGACGGAGGGAAAAGCGGATGGGCAGGAGGAGGAGGAGGAGACACGGATGACAAGGAAGGGGAGGACATGAGGAAGGGAAGGAGACGAGGAGGCATGGAAGATGAGGAAGTACGAGGAGGAGACGAGGAGGATGAGGAAGGGCAGGAGGAGGACAACGAGTCGGAGGAGACAAAAATGAGAAGGGAGGAGGAGACATGGAGGATGAGGAAGGGGAGGAGGAGCGAGGTGAGGCAGCACCCCCGCACATTTTTTTTTCATCCCAATTATAATTTTGGCGGGGAGCCTCGAACACGACCCCCAGCCTTCTGTTTTTTTTTGGAGGGGGGTGCGAGGATCTGGGTCCTCGGCAGGCCTGAACGGCCCCTGTTGGATATGTACCCGCCCTAAGTGAAGGCGGGCCAAACAAAACACGAGAGGCCCTCGGCTGTCAATTTCATATTTGGGGTCCAGACAGTTGCGACGCACCAGTTGGTTAAAGGAAACACAGGCTGAGGAGCAAGAAAATTCCATGGCGTTCCTGGCCCTTCCGGAAGTGCAGACCCTGGGCAAGAATCGCAGCCTCATACACAGACAGTTGAGAGGCCCAACCGAACGAGGCCCAGTAGCTGCAGCGGAGGCCGTACTGGGGCCTACCGGAAGCTTCTGGGCCGAGGCCCAGGCCAGCCAGACCTCCAATCGAGGCAGGCTCTTTCCATATAGGAAAGAGTTCGTTGCCTGGCTGGTCATTCAGCACTTGCATGCTGCGGCAGCGCTGCTGGAGCGGACGCTCGTGGGCTGCTGCTGGCCTGAGAGGCAAGGTGCTAGCGCGTGCGGTCGTGCAGGGCGCAGGGCGCAGCCGAGGGCAGCACCATAGCCCAGCCTCCATAGCTGGTTGGGCTTGGACTACAGTGAGGTGCAGGCGTGGTCTTCGGGTGTACAGAGGGAAGACGTGGGTGTAAGATGAGGGAGAGGGAGAAGGATGATGATGATGATGATGATGTGAGGGCACATACCTGGTATTGACGATGGTCTGCTACGGGCGACATCTTCAAGTACTTTGTTGGCTGCTGACGTCAACAGTTGCATTGTCAATTAGTAGGCTAGTAGTAGCTGTGTAGGGAGTAGGCTGGGCGCCGAGCGCCAAGTAGGGAGAAGGGCCTGGATACATATGTTGGTGGTGGCGAGAACAAGCTCTCATTGACATTGGTTTTTCAGTGTTATGATTCTCCATTGGTGTCATATTGGTGCAATGCTGCTTTCTGAACACTGTGATACGATCTGGCTTTCAATGTGATTGTGCAATCTGAATATTGTCATCTCGCTATTGCTCATCTTCCTTGCAGGAGTGATGGTTGGGCGTGTGCGCTGCACGTCAGGAACCGCCTGCACGACGTGCGCTTGCAAGTATGGGTTTTAGGTGATATGGTCGGATTCCGGGGCAATTAGCTTACTGCTGGTTCTGGATTTTTTGTTTTTAACCAGGGTTGCACCGGCGCCGACGGCCGACCCTGACCGCCGACCGTTTTGCCCCGACCGATTGGGGCGGACCGGTCGGCGGTCCGCCGACCAGTCAGAAAACAACCATCCACTGATTTTTTTTCAAATCTGAGTTGGGGGCTGTACTACGCTTGCTGAGTACAGCCCAAATCCGCTGAGAAACTTTTGGGGATGGGGGGGGGGTGAGCTGTCTCTTATACACATCTAGATGTATATTTGCGGGGTGCCGACGACCCCCGACCGGTAGGTGCCGACCAGCCGACCGGTCAGCGGGTCGGCAGCCGACTAAACAAGGGCCGCCGACCGTCGGCGTGTGCAACACTGTTTTTAACAGCACTATGAAAACTGGATTCAGGCCCTCGTAGAACTTGTGGCATGGGGTAGCGTCTCCGATGATTGCTACCACAAATCGTATGGAATGTACGTCTCTGATGATTTCTAGTGCAAATCGTATGGAATGAATGGAACTGGAATGAACAGATTTGCGAAGGTGGCTGTGCTCCAGTCTGCTCTGCTATGTGGATAAGTAATGTTTCTTGCCTGATATCTGAGGGGACTCCCTATCTGAGAAAGCCTGTCAATGGTCTTTTTTTTTTGAGACAGTTGGTTCAACCAGATTTGTCATGCACACAACATTCGAAAGAGGAAGGAAAACCAAAGAAAAGGTCATGATGAGCTGCCGTCTGGCATGCCTTGGCCACCTTGGCAGGGGGGCTCACCCGAGAAATCCAGGCGGGTGAAAATAGAGGCAAGGATCCAAAAAAAAAAAAAAAAACTGACTTCAGGCCAGGACTGCACTTGGCCTGACTCCGGCTTACCTTCCATATCTGTGATGGGTCACCCAGTGGGGTTTGGGGATATAGACAGTGACTAAAGGGGTTTAAACTTCAGAGTTGTGTATATACGATATTACTATATTTTAACTCTGTTTTATCTTAAACAAAGGAATCTCAAGGGGACCGTCGGCCAAAAGTTATTTGTAATGCAATTTTAGGCGTTTTCTTGAAGGGGGGGATTTTTTTTTTTTAATATATATATATATATTTTTAATACCAGTCGCCATGGCACACCTCTTCCTGCCCCCCATCTCTCTCTCTCAAAAAAAAACGCCTGGTGTCTGCGCCGCCTCCTTCCATCCCACCTCCTACTCGTCTGCTCCCCCTCCTCCTCCCGTTCCTCCTCTTCCCACCCATCGTCATCCCCCTCCTTGTCGGCCTCCTCCTCCTGCCACTCCTGTTCGTCGTCCGCCTTCTCGCGCTCGTTCGTCTTCCCCTTCCTCCTTGCATTCCTCCTCGTGGTTTGTCGTCCTCCCTCTCCTCCGCCTTCTCGCGC